CTAGATTTGGTCTGCAAATTTAAAAGGACTTTGCTTGTGTCCATGCCAGTGATGGGCCTGAGCAGTGAGGAGCGACACTGGAGCCAGGGACTTGGAAGCTTCGTCTGCACCACTGCCACTCTGCCCCCTCATGTCCCCTCCTCAAGGCTGGATGCGAGTGCCGATTCCAGCTGGCAGGGAGAAGCAGGAACAGCACGGAAGAAGGTTTTAGAGATAGAGGCAGCTCTTAGCTGCATGGCTCAGTGAGGGTGCAGGGAAAACCCACCACCCTCTACGTACGCTGAGACGTGCCACCAGGGTACCTGGGCTGGATCTGAGCCAGGTTGGTCTGACCCATGGCTTGAAAAAGTGGTACCAGTCCCTGATGCACAAAGAGACAATGAAATCTGCAGGGTGGAATTCATGTTTGGAACAAGACTGCAATGGTAAGCGAACATGAGAAAGGTAAGTTATAGGCTGTATATGACAGGTAAAGTGCTTAACATTTTTAATACATCTGAAAAAAGTGTGTTCCAGTATAAAAAGGCATTTTCTAAACAAGGATACTATTATCACTTCAATGATAAGAGCCTACCCACACTGAGTTTTTCACTTCATTTCTGCATGGCAAAACAGATCATGACATTTCCAAATGTTCATGTGAACTAACTGACATAGACCTGTTCCTATTTTATTTATCACAATCAACTATGAAGGGTTTTTGCAATAGAAATAAATTATGTTTACTGCAAACAGAAATCCCTTCAAGAAGCTGACACTCAAAAAGGAGTCCTATAAAAAGTGGAAATTTGATGATAGTACTAGGGAAGAGTATAAGAATTGCACGGACCTGCAAGAGGAAAATTAGGAAGGCCACGGCACAGATTTGGGATGCAGCTGCCAAAGGACATAAAAGGCAATAAAAAGGGACTCTCTAGGTATATCAAAAGTAAGAGCAAGGCCAGAGATTCCATAGGTCCCTTGCAGGATGCGGAAGGCAATCTAGTTGCAGAAGATACAGAGAAGGCTGAAGCATTTAATGCCTTTTTTAACTTCAGTTTTCACAAACAGGGGCAGCTACCAGCTGATGAGTGCACTTGGCAGCAGAGATAGGGAACGAGACAGCCTAGAGAGTAGTGGCAGATTAGGTGAAAGTATCCAGCTTAAGGAAGCTGGATACTTTTGAGTTGGCAGGGCTGGAAGGGGTACATCCAGGACTACTGAAGGAATTGGCTGAGGCATTTTTAAAGCTATTATCTATCCTTTTTAAGAACTCATGGAGGTCAGATGAGGTGCTGGATAACTGGAAAAGGACAAATATAGTGCCCTTGTTTAAGAAAGGGAAGGAGGATACAGGAAACTACAGACCAGTCAGCCTGACTCATATAGCTGGAAAGATACTGGACCAGGTCCTCAAGGAATCCACTGTGAAGGACCTAGAGGAGAACACGGTGATCAGGAACAGTCAGCATGGATTCACCAGGAACAAATCATGCCTGAACAATGTGATTTCCTTGTATGATAAAGTTGACAAGCCCTGTGGATGAGGGGAGAGCAGTGGATGCGATGCACCTTGACTTTAGCAAGGCTTCTGACATCTTCATTAACAAGCTAAGGAAATACAGAATAGAATAAAGTACTGTAAGGTAGATACGTAACTGGTTGGACCACAGTACTTGATGTGTTGCCTTCAATGGCTCAATGTCTAGTTGGGAAGAGGTATCGAGTGGGGTTTCCCAGGGGTCTTGTCCTGGGTCCAGTATTGTTCAACATCTTCATTAAGGATTTGGATGTTGGGTTCCAGCGCACACTTGGCAAATTTGTGGATGCCACCAAGTCTGGTGGACTTGCAGATGCACTGAAGGTCAGGACTAGGATCCAGAATGACCTGTATAGCTGGAGAAACAATCTGCAAATCAATCAGATGAGATTCCACAAGGACAAACACACAGTCAGGATGGAATAAATGCATGCACAAATACAGAGTGGGGAAAGACTAGCTGGGCTCCAATACTGCAGACAAGGACCTGGGGTTATGGTGGACCACAATCTGACTACGAGCCAACAGAGTGCTCGTGAAGCACGAAAAGCCAACAGCACCCTCGGTTGTATTAACAGGAATGCCACTTGCAAAACAAGGGAAGTGATTCTTCTGCTTTATTCAGGATTGGTGAGGCCTTACTTCAGTACCGTGCCCAGTTTTGGGCCCTACACTTCAGGGAATATGTGGAAAGTTTGGAAAGAGTCTAGTGCAAGGCAACAACAATTATTAAGGGCCTGGGAGACGAGACGGATGAGAAAAGGCTGAAAGAACAAGGTTGTTTAGCCTAGAGAAGAGAAGATTGAAGGGGAATGGACTATAGCCATCAAATACCTGAAGGGTGATTACACAGAGGATGGAGATGGGCTTTTCTCTATTGCTGTAGGGGACAGGACTAGAAGCAACAGCTTCAAACTGCAGCCAGGCAAATTTAGGCTGGAGATTAGCAGGAACTTTCTGACTCTCAGGGTGGTCAGACACTGGAACAGGCGGCCAAGAGAACTCGCGGAATCGCCGTGCTTGGAAATGCTCAAAACCAGGTTAGACAGACGCTTGGCTGGGGTGGTTTAGTCGGGGATGACCTTGCCTTGAGTAGAGGGCCGGACGAGAGGATCTTGTGAGGTCCCTTCCAGCCCAGTTTTCCTATGGTCCCATGTTCTGCAGAAAGGCTATGAAAGAATCGCATGCTGAGGTAGATGTGGCAAGCAGTGTATAACTTGGGGACACAATGTACCAGTTACTTGGAATAATGGGTAATGTGGCAGTATGGTGACGGACAGAAACTTTAACGGCACAGGAGTTGCAGGGTTGAATTTCAGCACTGAGAGTGTAAGATGCACCTGACATGCCATTTTAACTGAGGCCTGTCAATTTTAATTTTACTTGGTAATTTCACCCCTTTCTGGACTACCATATTAGTAGTGCCTACCTGCACAAACGAACACAGACTGGCTAAGTAGAGCAGCTGGTAGTTTAGACAGCTTAATGTAATTTAAATTGCTAACTAAATTATTGAGAACATGGGCATCACAACTGATACTACCTCTCTATTATGCCCAGTGTTAATACTTTTACACGTAATAAAACAGATCCGGTTTTGTCAGAACAGTCACTAATGCTCACAGGACACATGTTAACCACCTTACCACACAGTCAGTCTTTTCATGTGAGCACCTCATAAAAGCCAAGCTGGATCAGGCAGGGGATAAAACTTTCACCTAATCAGTCAGAATAAGTTTTCCAAGGAAGACAAATGAAGCTAGTTTTACAGTTGATCATTTTAAAATGTGCATAGTCATTTTAGCAGTATCAGCCTTTAAAATACAATGTTCTATAATGATGATTAAAAAACTACATCTAATGAACATTACTGCAGTGGTTTTGATCATTACTGCAGAATGTTATAGGTTAATTAAAAGAAAATAAAAGACAAAGCCAATGTAAAAACAAATCAGCGCCATAAGAGAGTACGCCAGCAAGTTCACAGGCAAGTTATTACCTACAATATAAAATATGTGGGTAAGCTTCTAAATAAAAAATAAAATATGGTCGCACGAATGTAATGAAGCAGCAAACTCTTAAAGACAGAAAAATCCCAAAATGTTGCAAATAAGGAGAAGCCTATAAACCCCTGTGAAATAATCAACCTCCTTTATGCCAGCTGAGCAAACCATCAGTGCCAAAATGGATCTAAGAAAATTAAGTTTGCAGATGGAGGTTAAAAATAACTTGGGAGTATTTTGATCACTTACTCAGGCCTTTTGATCCCATGTCGTCAGGGATCTCCTGTAGAGTAGTCCCCAGAGAGCAAGCAATAAAAAGATAATCACAAAGAAAATAATTGTCAGTAATATATAAAACTGGCGCTACAATAGGAGACAGTTCCAAGAACATCACAGGAGGAGATGGGTGTGAAAAACACCTTTTCACCCAACTTGAAAAATTTAAAATGGCTGAGACGAAGCACAATCAGGGTTGAAAAGGCAGAAGTCTAAGCTCTGAATAAACAACCTTATTTGTATTATAGCAGTAAGCTCAATGTTTGAAAATGCATCATGTGTTTCAATGATGGCAATAAAGAATGAAAAGAAAACACCCTAAATTTAGGAAAGTATTTAAAAAAAAAGAGGTTAAAATTCAACAGCTTCCAATGAACCAGCCTAGAGCAATCGGTTACAGCACAATTTAAGCCAAGTAATTATTTCTTTATTGCAGTGCACTGTCTCTGTGAAATTACTATTACTGGTTTGCTGCAATGGAGGATCTGGACGTAGTTATAAGCACCACTCGTGATCACCCCACAGCTCCCTCTGGTCCTCTACGAAGAGTTGCTCTCGGACTCCGAGAGGACTTTGGATCATTTAAGCGCACAAAAACCGCTGCGCAGGTCTCACGACCGGTTCTGCCGTTCACACCGTTCGACTTCCCTGAACTTGTTGCAGCTCGTGGAACTATCTCCATGGTAACACCCTACTGCAACTAGCAGGCCCTTCTACACGTGCTCTTGTTTTCTCTCTCCGTCAGATGCCACGTACTTACGGTCAATATCACTGGTTTCTTGTTCGCTCTGGTCCTTGTTCTTGTAGAAGGGAAATTTTCGGGAAAAGAGGTTCTTTTTACGCTTGTCATTGAATGACTGCTGAAGAAGAGAAGGAGGGGCAAAACAAAGGATGTCTAATGTCTGTGTGTACAAAGGCCCAGCCCTAGCAGCTTTGTGGAAGCTGACTCCTATAACCATTTTAATGCAGCGCATATTTGAATTTAACATCATCCTGGCTCAGAGATAGCAGGGGCTTTTGGTTTTGCTCAAGACCTCTGTACTTTGCATGTTTGCTACTGAAACCAATCAGAAGGCTGCTTTACCACCTGCAATTTACCCCTTATGGTCTTTTGTGAAGAGAAAAACAATGTGAACCAACAGACTGCTAAAATCAGCAAAAGCAAAATCCATTTCAGAAGCACAATGGAGCAAGTCACAGCAATTAGCTAATACATGGGTCATCACTGAATATACATTTGTGTAAAGTATTTTTCAAGGCATTATTCCAAAGGTATTCCCAACATGACATGCCTGCAAAGGCAAAGATGTAATACTAATACTGAAACATGTCTCAATACTTTAGTGACATACCCCCACGTATTAGAGACTGTATATGAAACCAAAATAATTCAGTGCTGGTATCGTAGTTAACTATTTGTAGAAAAAAAAGTTTGATCAAAGCTAAAATCTGATAGAAAAAAAGTGGCTTTACTCACTTAAAACATCTAGCAATCTCTTCTTAAAATCTCTGTATTTGCCTTTATTTTTTTGATGAGTAATTCCTTGCAAATTTACTTGAGAAAATGGACTCTGTTCTGGGACAGTTTGTATCCCAGAGCCAAGGGCCATGGTTAAAATTGGCTTCATTTGTTAATGTTCTCCTGGAGGAGTGCAAGGCTCACGAGGGGAACCAAACATATCAAAAGTTTTGTCTGGGCTCTGACTGCGATCCAACAAAAAATTAGACTTCTGGTGTTGCTGAAGAACTGTTTACAGCTTGGCCGCATTATCCT